AAAAAGACAGAAGTGATCGGGCACCCACAGAGCCGGGTTGCTGTGCACCCCCCCGGCCGATCCACACTTGTTGCAAACGTCGGCAACTCGTTAGATGTAGCTGAATTGCCCGCGGCTCGAAATCAATTCAGTGGTCAAGGGGCAGAGACCGTGCCGTTGGAACTGAACTGTCAAAGCATAATAAATGTCCGAGCCCTGCTGATTTACAGGGAACTGTCACAACTACAGACAGGTGCATCGCTCTTGCTTGTAACAGATTCAGCAACGAATGGCTATGCTAGCATGACTCACCGGATGTTTTCGGCAGAATGCTTTGTGCCAAGCCCCCAACAGAGATGATGGCTCAGGCGGCACGTGAAGATGTCAGACCGTTTGTAGGCGCGGAAGGATGTGCAAGCTGCTGGCTGCAAGCGTGCAAGGTGCCGCAACTGACGAGATGGGAAATGGTATCTTCGGAGGTACAAGAAGTGGACTGCAGCTCTGAGGGCTGCGATTTACAAACGATGGATGTCGAGGACGTAATGACGATGAGGAGGAGGAAGCTGCGGAGCAGAAGGAGTGGAGAGCCTGACTTAAGCATCACTTCGACAGCTTCGGTTGATTCGAAGGCCTTGGAGAAATGGAGGCCCGAGCTCTTCGGGCCAGGCCCCCAAGGGCCCCAAGGCCTCAGAGGCGAGGCTCTCGAGCCGCGCTCGGGTCATCGCCGGTTCCTCCGAGGCACGCGGTCACGGTGAAGAAGAAATTCCAGGCCCAGTCCGACCCCGAGCCTCGCGAGACTCGCGAGAGAATGGCAAAGGTGCGTTCAAGTGCCGATTTCTGCCTCTCAGGGGATCGCAGGATGACTTGAGCATCGACGGTGACGACATGCCAGGAACCCTAGAGTCATAGGGTACAAAACTGCAAAGACAGATGGCTAAGGTCCGTGGCTTCGTCCGTCAGCCAGATGGAGGAGGCACCAGACTTCCATGCTTCCTGGCCCGAGTGATGCTTATTTTGCTGTCAGCCTAGTGGTGAGGTGACGTTGAGCTTACACCGATCACCGTTTGTGACTTCAGGAGAAGGAAGTTGTTCGCGCCGAGGAGGAGGCTGCAGATGAGGACGAAGCACAAGATCAGGAGGGCTTGCTCCTGTGCTCGAGTTAAGATCAGCTTCTGCAGTGCCCAGATTTTCAGGAAAAGGGCTCGCAGCATGAAGGCTCGCACAAAGAGGCCGAGACAGTACTGTGCGAGAGCTTGCCTTTCCACAGCAGAATGCTGTCCTCCATTTTGGCGTGTTTGGGAGGGAGCCGGATCGGACAGCGAGGATGGGTTTGACCCAGAAGAGGAGGTGCCAAGCACCGCGTGTTGAACGAAGCGGTGCCCCGAAGAAGTTTGTGTCAGTTGCAAGCAGATGCAAGTAGCATCCAGTAATGAAGATTTGTGTGTACAGGCAGCTGCAAAGAGGGATGAGGCTCGCAGGAGAAAGAAGATCATCGTGGTGTTGCTGGCACGATTGCTTCGTCTCCTGGATGCGTGAGGATTTGGGTATGGTCTCGAATTCCTTGAGACACTATAAATTTTCCTCCGCACGACTGTGCCCGTCTTGGCAGCGCATGGAATTCGAGCCACTGCTTTCGCTCCACGAGCCTCTGGGTGCCACAGTGGAGGAGCCTCCTTTAACTCTTTTTTCTTACTTACTCGTACGACCGATGCAACGCAGGAGCCAGCAGAAATCTTCTCTGTCGGCAAAGGTGGCAAGCGGAACAAACGCCTTGAGGAGGCAGATGCGGTATCGTAATCAGCGCGGTCGGCTTGTTCATGTTATGCGGTCGCCTGGCTGGGCTATCGTGTCGTGGTCGAATCCTGACGGATTCCCGCTGCAGGCAGCCCTGGAAGATGCGAAGGTTGCCTACCGGGCCAAGTCCAAGGCACCAAGAGGGACGGGTCCGGGCTGGGCCTCTTTGCTGAGTCTCACGTGTTGCCAAGGTAGCTGCAGGCTGGCTTATTGAAATGGGACTGGAGGACCGTCCACATGTCAGGTCGGCTGCAACTTGTAAGTGCTTTAGCTATGCCCAATGGTGTTGTTCCTCATTCTTCAGGACTGCCTGCTGGCAGAACTGGCGCAAGGTGTTGGAGAGGACCTGCACTTGCTTTCCGTGTCTTCTTCCTCATACCTCATTGCTCTTTCTCGGGCTGTGTGCATTCGAATTCCTTGTGCCGCCCAGGATCCAAACGAGCTGCGCTTTGCACTCGAACAGTGGACGTCTCAGTCAACACGATGCCTGTTGAGAGCATCACGTGTGCCTGTGGGCTTTGCACCGAAAAAACGAAACCGATTTGGCACAAAGTCTTGGCACAGAAGCGGGAAGGCTAGACTTTCCTGTTGGAAATGGCCACCTTCCCAGAATTGTTTGTGACAACAGTCACAGGATCGAGCCTGTTGAGGGCGCGATGCTCGTCACAGTCGTCGTTTTCGGAGGCTGGGCTTGTCGCCGCGATGTGGAATGCCAACAGTCACCGGGATTGGACCTGTTGGAGCCACGCCACAGGCAGGGGACCATACCACAGGGGCAGGGGCACCACCCGCAAGGTCGAAAAGGGAAAGCCACCTCTACTAGCTGCACCATGCCACCACCAGACTCATGTCAACTTCCATCGTGAGGAAAAACCCAGGGAAATACGGTTTCAAATGTAACCATGGAACACAACTGAACAGGACGGATAATTGGGAGTCAAAGCGCAAACCTCGGACAGCCTCATTACCAAGCCTAACTAGCCTAGCCTGTAGAACACAGGGAGCACCAGTTTGCTGGACATCAGGCAGGGCATGAATCCACTGAGCTCGCCTGCGCCGCCTCAGCCTGTTGCCTAGGGCGCCCCTCTATCAGGCCCACACTGCCTCCCTATCTATTCTGCTCGCGGCACGGCAGCCAGGGCCGAAATCCAACGTAGTCACAACACCCACAGCATGTGCCATCTGCTGGCCTGCATGCTGGAGCAAAGACAGGGAGGGCCAGTGAACACTGGCTCCACCAAGAAGCTGGCAAGAACCCAAACAGGACTTCCTGCGGTGAGAGGGTTAGAGAGGCTCCCTGTCAAATTGCCACAGCGGGCTGTCTGCCCAGGAGCAAGCGCTTCATAGTGGATGATGACTTGGTGGTGCGGGACCTCGGGATTTCTGGCTCCGTACTCCGGCTTCATGGCTCAGCCCCTCAGGTAGAGAAGACTCTGGTTCAAAAAGTTTTTGATGCCTCAGTCCCAGGTGATAGGCATGGTATACATGCTTGCATGATTTGCCTCTCGTTGTGACTTTGCTGCTTGTTTGTGACATTTCCGTGACAAGGTCATGGAAAGTGATATTGAGACAATGACAGAAGTGCTCAACAAGCTTGGAGAAGCAGAAGAGGTCCCTCTCAGCTTGTGCTCTCAATCGCTTTTGGCTGCTTCTGGGCTGGGCTGGGCAGAGGCGGGTGTGCGACTGGCTGTCAGAGACTCTCTTGGAGAGTTGAAGCCGAGACCTCAGAGTGAAAATCCACCAAAGCAGAATCAGACTCTTGGCCTTCCTAAATCCGACAGTCTTTTCTCGCATGTGGTTTCAAGGATCAGAGTGGCAAATGACATAGAGCTTATCGAGCGGGTGGATCCAGAGGTGCCGCTTTATTCTGCCTTCCAGGGATGACTTGATCGGCAGCTGTCCGTGAATCTCTCTCGGCAGAGAACTCTGTTCAAGCCAAGGCTCAAGTTCAAGCTCTATATCACGCGCCCCAAGAAGGGACCTGCTCCGGGTTTGAAGTTTACCTAGTTGAGCCCGAGCGGGACCCAATTGAACAGGAAATCCAGACCCAAGCAACGCAGCCCAGCGCCGCCAGAACAGACACCTGGCAACTTTGCCAGATGCCTCGCGCGTCGATCCTGCTAGCCATGTCGCTGTCTGTTGCTGGAGCGGCATGGTGATGTGCTCAGTCGGGCTGCAACGCATTTATGTAAGACAGAGCCCTGAGAGATTGGCTAGCAGCATGCATTCATCAGAAAGGCCGGCGGGGTAAATGCGAAATAGAGCCGAAGGACCAGGGATTGCGACCTCGCCTGCGTCCAGTACCACGATTTCCAGGCCACCGTTTGCCGTTTGGCAGTCTTTCCAGGAACACAGACCCCTGTGTCAGGACAGTCTGCATCTCGCCAAAAGTAGGTGTGTCCACGGCCCAGAAGTTGCTGGAGACATCAGTGATGCAGGCTTGCCCGGAACATCTCTCAGGAGCAAAGAAGCGACTGCATGGGAGTGGTGGACTTTTCCGACAACGGTGGCATGTTCGCTCTTTGCAAGACCGGGATCTTCGACACTCTGCGAAGTCATAGCGCAATGACCAGCCGGGACTGCAGGATCGACTCCGACATTCGCCATTGGCCGAAGGCCTCATCATTTGCATGTTGCACGTGCGCGCTCAGCATCAATTGGACAGGTGTGCGTCGAGCGCCGAGAGAATTCTGAGCTATGAGTCTGCAGACCTGGCGGCGCTGCCAGCTCTGGATAGTCGTTCTGCGGTAGTTAGCCGAGTTAGGGCGCCACAAGTGTGCCCTGCGTTGCAGCGCGCCCTCCATGAACTTCCGAACAGCATCATGAGACGTTGACTTTTTTTTTTGATTTTTCTTGATTCTTCGCGTGCAGGAAGAGCAGCGAGCCAGGAGGGAGGACGAGAAAGTACAGAGGTGCCCCTTGTGAAGCGACCTCCAAATCGAAGCGCGTCTCGGTCAGGGCAAAAGAGAAGATGGAACGCAAGAAGGAGCTGCAGAAGCGCAGGACACGCGACCTCGCTCAGTCTCTTCATGGCACCGCTTCCTGCACTTGCCAACAGGCGAAAGAGAGGCCAGCAAGTGTCGCCTCCTTCGGATCTCCGTCCATGGGTCAGAAGATGCGTTTACACTGCTTGCAGGGAGAAAGGGTGAGGAGGAGCAGGAAGCGGAGTCGGAATCTTCTGATGAGGACGCGGCAGTTCACGCAATGACTTGCCTTAGTGCATCCTTGCCAATCCTGTCAGGATGGTGGCCCTCAAGACGTGGCGGCACTCGCCTTGTCTTCTTTGGCGAGCGGAATGTGTCCGGTCCTGCAGAACCTTCAAATTACAGGACAAGAAAGCATTGGCGTTTCGAAGGCTGCAGGCAGGAAAAGGGTCCTGCCTTGGAGTCTCATGTGGTTTACAGAGTTCAGTATGCTTCGACATGGAAACATACAGGTGCAGATCAAGATCGAAGAGTTTCTGAAGGCATACACCCGAGGCATGACCCTGACACTGTGCTTGGAATGTCCGGCTTCACATTGGCTGCAGGTCAGAACCTTGTCAAGATCAATGCTAAAGGGAAGAGGTGGGCTGCTGGCATAATACTTAAAACAATCTGGGCTGTACGCTGTTGCCTGGCCAGGGCTTGCTCGTTCCATGCTCGGGACACTCGACACACCGGGAAACACAGCCTGTGGAGCCATCCCCACCCCCCTATTAACTCCAGGATGCGGGGGGCATACGTCGAACATATCGCAACGTATTTCATGCGCTTTCCGAGGTTTAAAGCATCTGCAGAACAAGGTGAGTGGGGTGGGGGGGCATGAATCAATGCCGAACCAATAAACGATCCAGCATGATCTAGCACACATGCGACCCGCAAGGGCTAAGACTGGAGCATTTTGGAGACATTTGTGAGCGGTTGTGCATTGTGAGATGCATAAATAGTGTATTTTGGGGGGGTTACGTCGACCCCATACAGTACCCCAGGGTGGACGGGCGTCGATCGTCGTTTATATGGGGGCATATGCTGTGAAGAAGTCAATGTATTCGAGAGTCCCTCTTTTTTACTAGTCAGACTCATGAGAATCCGGGAGTCAACCTCTATGCTTGCCCTTGCTCGCTTGGGGCGGAGGGGAGGGGGTAACCAAGGTCACTTGTCGACCTGCTGGATAGGGAAAGCAGCCGCTTGTTTTTGGGTTTAAGGCTCAGCGGTTTAGGGTATCTGGGTTCAGGGTTGGTTTAGGGTTTCTAGATTTAGGGTTTCTAGGTTCAGCGTTTATTGGTTTAGGGGTTTAGGGGTTGAGGGTTGCTGGCAAGGTTTCTGGGTTCAGCGTTTCTGGGCTTAGGGGTTTAGGGTTTCTGGGTTCAGGATTTCCGGATTTAGCGTTTCGGGGTTCAGGATTACCAGGTTCACGGTTCATGGGTTTAGAGGTTTAAGGTTTCCGGCTTTAGAGTTTCTGGGCTCAGGGCTTCTGGGTTTCAGGTTCACTGGGAGATGGAACAAGACATGCCTTTCTGCTTGCACTCTGCGGAAAGTTTATGCCATAAACCAGGCAGCTTCTGAAATCAAGCCAGGCTTCTGGCTTGGGGCTTGGGAGTCTCAGGTTTATGGTCGTCTGATGTCCTCTTTACCAGCGCAGCACAGAGTATCCTAAAGGGGCAACCCCCTGGAATACACAATGTTTTCCTTACTGGGACCCCTAGACCACGCCAACAAGTAATGTATTCTGGGGGGTGGGAACCTTCCTACGGCAGATGTGGGTTGTGGGTTGCGCATTCCTTCGTTTGTCCGTGCTGCGCAGCTCGTCGGCGACTAATTGAGTACACGATGCAGAGTCACGTAGTAGCGCAGAGCCGTAGCAGTGGCAGCCGCATAAGTAAGTTGGAACTGTCTTGCCGTGATTGCACACATGATTCCCGGACATGCGCTTCCTACATGTGCATTTCTCGGAACGATCCACGCACTTGAAATCCTACAGCTGCCTCCACTCTGAGTTTGGCACAGTGGGAAATCCAGGATCCACTTTTCGCCCCAAGAGGGTGGAGCTATGTGGAGCCCCGATGCCCCAAACATGCTTTATTTATGCACGATGCGAGCATCGGCATTATCGCACTAGGATCTATGCCTCGCTTTGCACATGAGCCAGCAATGTCGGTCGGCAGCTGTGCACTGCAGGTAGCCGTAGCACATGTATTTGCAATACCCGCTTGCCATCAGTATACCTGTCCCTCTACATTTACATGCCCAAATCTCCATTGTCGAGCCGGGTTGTAGCACACGTCAGGCTACTTCCGAAACAAGCCCTGAACGCCGCCTCTGAGCCATCAGCAGCCGGAGTCGGTTGCGGTAGCAATCCTGAGCCATCGTAGCAAGCAGAGCTTTTCGACTGGCGTCAACACCACAAACGATATGTTGGGCCTCTTCTCGCCAGAGCTCGTCCATCAAATGTCAGTATGTCTGGACATTTGCAGTGCGTAGGTACGCCCGGCGTGTCTATGTTGACACTGCCAAGAGGGTTGGGGCCTTACTGTTGCAGGCAGAGTCGCTCAGTAGCAGAGCCGGCAGAGAGAGAGCGTGACTTTCCTCATATTGCTGGACTTGAGTTCAGGCTCTTGTCATCCAGGGTGCAAACGGTCCGAAGTTCTTTCCGTCCAGAGCTGACACACTGACGTGCCAGCAGCCGTGCTCAAACGGGTTGTGGTGGGTTGTGCTACTTCTCTCAGGTTTGCTTCAATGAAGGAGGTGGACCTGGAAACCCGCACAACGAAGGCCTGCTGGCGCTTCACAAGCAGGTTCGGTAGCTCAAAACTTGTCAGCCCAAGGAAGGCCGTGTCGAAACCCTGGTAATCTGTGCTATCGAGAAGGATGGCAGGATCGTTAAGGACGGCCTGCTCAGCATCCTCACAAGTTTGGAACGAGTTGCACATGCCGAAGGAGCTAACGCTCGCTTTCCCAGATCAGTCCAAGGCGTGCCTTCTTGAGTCGACTCTGGTTTGGATGATACGCACTTCAGATGCGAGGCCAGCACATTTGTAAACTGCGCCCGGGTCTAAGACTGCCGCAAGCAGGGACTATTCTCCAAGACTGCACCACTGTCTTGTGAAACCGAGGTCACCTTGTTCTCTCTAGCTTTGCGAAGGAAGCAAGATTGACATGCGTGGTCTGTGAATAGTGGCAATGTCTTTTCCTACGTCCAGAGAGTGCACGGTCCAAGACCGCACCGCGGATGTCCTTCCAGGACAGCTAACGAATGCCACTTCTTGCATCGTCATGCATGAAGTGCTGCGAACCCCGCACACGAAAAGACAGTGCCATGCAGGGTCCTCGCCCTTGCAAAGTGATGCCCGTGATGCCAACACGTCCTAGAACGTGTGGCACGGCATGGCACGTCCTTCGACTGCATCGTCGCTGAGCAGCCACGCACAGCTCAATCACAAACGTGTGAAAGGGCCTCGGCCATGGGCAGAAGTCGGTACTGCTAGAGCAGCCACAGTTTGATGTCAGACCACTAACCTTACACCTGTGGGATGCCGCGCCTTCATGCAGTCGCCGGCTAAGTGCGCCGTGCAGACAAGGAGAAAGCATCTGGTTTCAGGCTTCGAGGCCCACGCAGCTAAGGTCTAGCCTGTACAAGGAGAACACTTTCGAGCTGGGCCATAGCGAGGCCAAAGACGACCTCTCAAGGTTTTGAGAAGGCCTCTCTCTTATCCTGCCAGGTCTGGGGATCATGGTACGACGCTTCTGCAGAAAGATGGGGCTACGCGTGCACTCGCCATGTTTCGGCTTGTGATGTTTTGCAAAGAGATCGGTAGTGATGTAGAGACCGCACTCAACTGACCAAAAGGTGCTGTCGAGAATTGCAACGCCGGTATCTGAATCAATGGCATGACCTCGCAATACCAACCTGTGAATGAAGCAGGGTGCACCAGGTGAATAATCAACTTTAGGTAGACTCGGACGCTTCCCAGGTCCTAGATAAAGGCTCAACGTACGTTGGTTTGCTGCATCTCAGTTTGACACTGCAAACACGCGAAGGCTCGAAGCGATGTGCTGCGAATGCAGCACCGGCACAGGATCTCGAGGCCAAGTTTGCGAAGTCACAGAACATCTGTTTGCGGCGTGCCTGCTACAGCAGGAAGGCGGCGATCTCGAAGCCGGCGCTCCCACTTGCCTGGACGATCTTCAGAACGGCCTCCCAGTGCGCGCTGGAGAGTTTAAAACACTACGAGCATTCGGCGAAGGCCCCGCAGCTCCTTCGCAGAGGCCGACCTCTTCGCACTGCGATGGGCCAGAAGCTCAGATGCCCTGTCAGCGCTGTTTTGTCGGTGGGTGCCTGACAGTTACAAGCTGTTCTGCGAGAGTATCGTCGCCAACACCAGCTGGACACGGTCGGCTGCTGGCATGTCTCTTGCTGTTCTTCTGTGGTGAACGTCCGGGGACACACCTAGGACCTATACTCTTTCGATGCCACACCCGTACATTGCGCATAACCTTAAAGGATCACACGCGCATCGCAAGTACGCACCAGGACGTTTGTCGATGCATTACAAAGGAATGCGGAGTCTTCGTTGACAGTGATCTCCAACACTACCCCGCGGCTGCTCCATGACATACATTACGAAGTGAAGTTACTGGGGGTCTTTACCTCGTCTAGTTATAGAAACCCACACGCGCACACACTTTGACACGTTGAGAATGGCCCTCGGTTTTAGCTGAAGCTATTCATGGGTTAGTGCGTTCCAGTCTTTCATATCCTCTATCCTTCCTATTCTTTCATTAACTTGACACATTGTTGTACTGAGGCTTTGCCGCCTTGTGGCGGGTCTATTTCTCTTTCATGCCACCTTTGTCTTGCCAGGCTTCCGACAGAAGCTTAAAGGGAACCCACGTCTTTGAACTACTTCCACAAGCGTTGTCGTCACCGTCAGTATGCTTCGAGGTTTTCGCCTTGTCTTCTCACCATCAAAAATGCATCGCGCTGTAGGGGTCCGTCAACTTGATGTCTCAAGTTGATTTCACAATGAAGCAGAAGGGTTTTCGTTGGTGCCAGCCTTCTGCAATCCCACGGCACCCCCTGCTGATGAAACTGCAGAGCGATTCCTTTGCCCCGGATGTCACACACGCACGCTACCACAGACGACGTCTGAACCGAGTACGATGCCAACGCTAAATTCAAACGCGAGCCATGCCAAGTGGCTGCTATTTTTTTTTTCGTTTTGGGTCCTTGGCTTAGTCTCGTTCCCTGTTGCCGACTGACACTTATCGTGGTTCCCGCCCGTGCCGCTTCTTTTGAAACAGCGATGTAGTCCCAGTTGGGCTGCTTGGCTTCGACCCTTGGTCCCGTCACTTGCAAAGAGGCGTGGCTCCGATTGGAAGGTTCTTGTCTTTCTTGTAGCCGTTTTGCCGCTGAATTTGCAACAGTGATGTTCTCTTTTTTGTGTTTGTGGTCTAGTCTAGCCAGTTGCTGTGTCACCTGCAACAACGATGTACTCCAGTCGGGGTTGCTGGCTTAGCCATGCTTGGCCCAAGGCCAGTGCACTTGCAGGTGCGTCTGCGGCACACGAAGTCCGACGGCTTCGCTGGCAAGGGCCAGCTTTGCCTCTCCATGCTACGTAGAACAGTTCCTCCGTCAAAATTGAAAACTAAACCTGGGCAGCTGCCAATATGCCAACTCCATGCCCATGCCGACAATATACTACTTCATCGGGATGCAGCAGTCAAGATGCGATGAACACACCCAACAGCAAAAACGAATAACAGTCTCCTAGCAATGACCGCATAAGAACTTACAGTTTGCATCGCACGCGGGGCGGCCGTCGTTTCCTCCAAGTGCGGTCTGGGTCCAGAGAGTCCTTGGCTTTGCCCCTTTCCGTTTCACTTGCAATGACGAGTGAGGTTTTGTTAGCAAGGACTTTTCGTGCAAGGCCGATGGTTGCTGATCAGAACAAGGGGGTTCGGGGGGTGAGCTAAAAGCATGTGTCATTTTGGGGCCATGTCCACCTGGAGTTGAAATAGGGGGGGGGGTGTTTGTCACGGTGGTGTTACGATTTCAGGCGAACAGGATCGCTCCTGACGCTCGTGACCGGGGTCGGCCGGGTGTTGACTGTTGAGTTGTAGAAGCCAAAAGCCAACCTGTCTATCAGACAAAAATCGTTTTGCTTGCGATTTTCGTTAGCTTCACCACTGGGCCTGCACTTCGGGAAGCCTTACGTGTGTTTTGTTTGGTCTTTGTTGTCCCATGATTTTGGGACTGTCGGCTGCTGCTAGTAATCGTAGTACTGCTTGCATCGTGGGCCACCTGTGAACCCCAAAAGGGGTGAACCTTATGCATGTCAACGAAAGACATAGCATGAATGGCCAACCCTAAACCGAGGCGGGACTAAAAGGAGGGTAGGCCATACTTGATCAACCGATGGATAGCAAGAAATGACGGAGGTTCGGGCCGTGGATCGTGTTGAAAGGAATGGGCAACAACAAGTCACAAGTGTACAAATACAGGACAGGGAACGTCATAACGTGGTGCACGTTTTGGCGACCCATGTTGAGCAGGAGGAAGATTTACTGTACAGCTGAAATAGAAGGAATTCGCAAGCGAGCGACGTCTCCAAAGACTCTAGTAAACAAGTCACAAGTAAGACAAGACAGTAACAACTACGGGTGTTTACAGAGCGTCGCTCTTTCTGTACATTGCAACTTCTACTGAACTTTCGTGCCCCTGTTGGGCCAAAGGTCCGCAGCCCTCGAACAGCATCGAATGGTAGCCAGGCTTGCGCTTCACGCTTCGGACGTTCACAACCGGAAGAGGCCTGCAACCTGGCAGTACTCTTGCGAGTTTGTCAAGCAGAACCCACGATATGAGGTGGAGCGCTCCCTGGCAACCCTGCTACAGACTCTGCAGGCGACACTGCAGGACAAGTCGACAAGCCCGTTCTTTCTAGCCGTCTAGCCCTGCAGTGAGCCGGGCAAGGCAAGCTGTCAGAGTTTCTGGAAGGGGGAGGAAGTCCATGCTCGGAGCTTGAGGTGTTCTGAGTACAAGATCGCAGATATGTGCGGGCTTATGGTGCAAGGTCTGGAGCGTTGGCCACAACAAGTGGTTCAAAACCGGGCGCGTCATGCACTCAGGAACGCATTCCGGACATCACACCGTGGCAGTCCTTGCACAAAAAGCTTGGACCCTTTCGGAAAGCCCGAAGGTCGTCGCTGTGAGGCAGACAGAAGAAGGAGGTCCAAAGCTAGGATGACTTGATGCATAGCTTAGTTTCTGTCACAGCACCGAGGGCGAGCTGTCGGCTCGGTACTTGTTACGTTTGTGGAGACCGCCGACAGCAAACCTTCCAGGTGCCCCGGACAGAGTTAAGCCGCTGGCGTCTCCGCAAATCTGCCGACAAGGAAGTGGGTGTCTCCAGCCAACATACCGTCTGTCCTTCGGAAGGCAGCAGAGGCACGGATCTGGTTGTAGGTTTGATCTTCAGCATATCTGCCGGCACTGCTGATAGGTGAAAATTTCGCGAGATGATCTGGACAAGATCGTGCGCAGATTCCTTGGAGTTACTGTTGCCTTGGCAGAAGCCTGTCGAGGGCAGCGGTACTTCAGCAAGGAATAGCTGAACTTTGTGCAGAACGAGAATATCATGCAGCTAGCCAGGCTTCTTGAGCAAGTGTTGTCCACTGAGATGGGAGGCACGCTGTGCTCGAACCATGCACAGGTGTACCTAGAGCTGACTGTGGGTCATGGACGATGGCATGGAGATCTCTCCGTCCCAAGAAGCATGTTACGATTCCTGGTTCGTGTCTTTCGCATGTGCAAATGCTGATAACCGGCGCAGCTGTCGGCTCACGGGGCCACAGCATGCCAACTTGCACCAAAATCGTAAGGCCGCCACGATGCCAAGCGACACTGTGACGGATCTTGCATGTGCGACGTCGTTAAGATTCGTTAAGATTCCCAGCGAGTCAGCACAGATAGCAGAACTGGACTGGACTTCACCTGCAACATGGATCCCACTCTAGCTGCGCGCTTTGCTCGCCAGAAGGATGCTCGGTTCGCCCGTGGTGACAGGCAGCAAGCCAGTATCGAAGCTCTGTCTGTTGCGTTCAAGGAGAAGCATGAGAAAGGCGAGGAGGTGGCAGAGATTGGATCCCAGGCGAATCAAAGAGCACAGCTAGATCCTGTTCTTGCACAAAGATGGGTGCGCCTGGCAGTTTAATGAGCTCACATAGGCATATCCGAAGGGATTGCTGCTAGATGGGAAACTCGTGCCAGGAGAAGCTGCAGAAAACCGAGTTTCCGGTTGAAGATGACATCGGTTCCAAAGCCGATGCATGTTCGAGATAGTTGATCTGATTGAGGTAACACCGCACGTTTCAGCATTGATTCCGAGGAGAAGATTGTGAAACTAGATCCTGTGCTTGCCAAGCGCTGGTCGCAGCAGCAGGCACACCGCTTTTTGCAGCTTTAGCTGCCAGAAAGGGTTGCGATCCCTGAGGAATTGGTCGACTCGGGTCTCTATGAAGCTGAGATTGGTTCTGTGGCAGAGAAGTCGACGTGACCGGACGGCATCTGTGAGAAGTCTGAGCGTGCGGAGACGTGTACGGAGACTTCTGGCCGCTTGTGGCCACTCAGGAAGCTGGATCCGACGCTTGCCAAGCACTGGGCAGCAGCTCACGAAAGGGAGTTGGCAGGCACCGGGGCAGAGCATCGGATCGGAGCATCGGAGCATCGGTAGGGAGAGGTTTGAACTGAGGCAAGGGGATTCCGGACCCAGAAGAAGCGGGTCCCAAAGCTGACTTTTCCAGGAGCAGTTTCTCGCACACGATCGTAATTCCAAATCTGCTACAGTTTGGGGTCGATGCATGCATGCTGCCTCGGCAATGGGCTGCAGGAAAGACACGGAGCTTGCAAAGCGCTTTGCAAAACTGCAGCGACAAGCTCAAAGAAATGAAGGCCTGAGAGATTGGAAAACAGTCCGAAGATCCATAGGTCCCTTAAGCGTTGTTCAAGTTAAGCAGGTGGCGAGGCAGAGAGGTGCCAGCTACAGTTCTCGGCCATCTTGGCTGCAGTTCGGTGGCGGGCGCTGTGAGCACGAAATGCGGCATCTCGCCAAGCGAGGCTGGAGAGAGCAAGGAGCACGAAGTCGCCACTGAGGGGGCCGCCATTGGCCGCCTCCAGTGGAGCGCCGTGCCTTGCCTATATGCTGCCTATGCTGCTGCGGAGTAATCTTTCAGGGCGAAGAGCAGACGCTTTGCCCCTGAGGTGGTCCTGGCAGACTTCACAATTGATCTCGAAGTCTGTGCAGTGGTTCGAATACCTCCGGAGATGGAGAGCACAGAGACCATCGTGTTGCAAAGGCCGACCTAGTCAATCGAAGTGTGATACCCGATAGCCAACTATGGCACTCCAGGAATGCTCGCGGAGGAACTTTTGTTGGCACGCTCGACTCGAGAACCGACAGGTGCTTGTTCTGCATATGCATTGCATCTGTCTGTCCGTCTGTCCGTCCGTCTGTCTGTCGTCTCTCTCTCTCTCTCGCTCTGTGTATGTGCGCCTTTTTTCGGTGTGGGGCATGCAGCATGTCGTCAATGCTTGTCATCTGTTCAGGAGACTTGTCGTCAGACAAGGCCAAGTTTGTTGCAGCATCGCTTTTATGCTTTTAGTTCTGTGCCACGCCGATTGCCATCCTCTTAAAGTGATGATATGCTTCCACGATCAGAGGTGACGAACAGCTGAGAAAGGAAGTGAGGTGCTCAGAATATCTCAGCAACAGCGATAAGCGGGTTTGGACACACAGTGCAACACATCTTGCAGAAGGTCATATCCGTCATCTTCAAGTTCAGCAACTCCTTCAGTTGGTTCACGCAGCACTGGCTTGCCTGAGAACTCGTGTTTGGAGAAAACTCCCTTGTGAGATTTGTGATTCCATGAACTCTTTCGTGCCAGGGGAAAGGAGGTTGAGCTGGTCGGATCCTGAGCTCTGCCAAATGCGTATAGGGTGTGATGCGCGTTCCGATGTCAGGTCTTTCTGAAAGATTGACACATTAGTCATTGGCTTTCATCTCACTTCCATTGACCGGCAAGAGGCAGGACGTGCAGCATCGTGCCGCAGCAGCTGTTGCGGTCGTGCAGAGCTCTGCAACCTGCAGCACGGCCTAACAGAGGCCAGCGAGACATGGACTCTGTACATTGCAACGTTTCACTACGAAAAAACATGACCTCGCTTTCCCCATGCAAACAGGATGTCCGGCTGACTTGAATCCATCATCAAGTGCCTGTAATCGAGCTGAGCAGTGAGCAGGGTGCTGCGCTGGGAGACGATAACACGTTGCTCGGATTGTAGTTTTTGCGGCACAGCTCTTGTGACTACTGTAGCTATGGTTGGAGGCCAATGCCTTGCATGTGCCAGGTCAAAGGCATCACCGGTTGTGCGAAGGCACAGCCGAGCGAGAGCTAGAGTTATCATTGGTGTTGCTACCCAGCGTCTGCAATGGAACAGGCTCCCAGAAACGGCTTCAGGGTCAAGAAAGATTCGCTCGTGTCTCAGCAACGCTGCTGTTGTCGGTTTTTCTCACAGTTGCAGTGCTCCAGAGTACCAGCCTTCATGATGCCTGCGGCGCATGGACGCCTGTAGTTTGACAACGGCTAGCTGCCACAAGTTGGACGCTGTGTTAGGAACCTTAGTAGCCAGCCGCAGCACAAGGCTTTTGCGCCACACGCAGTCCTTGAAGCAAAGCCGTGGATTCACTGATAACTCACTTTGCAGGTCATCGCAGTCGCAATATGATTCGCCGTAGTCATGCCGGCACTCGCCCTCTGCGAGAAACAGGCCTGAAAAAGCAAAAGCTGACGGGCGACTGCCGCCCGCCAGACTCGCTAAACGCTGGAAAATTCCACTGTAACTGTTTAACTGCCCCAAAGCGCTTCATCGTCAGCAACGTTGTGTGTGTGTGTGTGCTGTTGGCTGTTGGCAAGATTCGCACTGATGAGCTATGATTGGTTGAAGAAAGAGTCTTGCCGGTATTAGGGAACCCTGCTTTTCATGATGCTTGCGAAGGAACGGCCTTCTTGAGTCTACAGACGGTATGCAATACATGCCTTGTCCGAGCCTGAGAACTTCTGTTTGTAGACTTGTAGTATCGCGAAGGTTTAAGTATCACAGCTGCTGGCCTACACGGGCAGCAGTAAGAAGCGATTGTGTAATACAGGCTTCATGATGGACTGGCTTGAGGCATTGTCGGTATGAAATGTTGTCTTGCTCAGCTAGGTCTCAAGCGGTTGATGGCTTTCTGCCAATTCGTCACGTGCTCGGCAAGACAGGTGCAGTGAGATTTTCGAGGTTCCGTCTCTTGTGATTTTCAGGCGCACCCAAACGCTGACGTCTCCAAGCACATGCCAGAGTGAGCTCCGCTGCAAAGCTGCAGCTGTTGAACATAGCAGCTTAGACTGAGCGGAGACATCAGAGAGCACAGCTCAAGTTCCTTTCTCTCCAAGCTCTGCGAATCGGCTCATCGCCCGCTAGATAGATCCCACTAGCAGTCTGCAGCTCGATGCGACTGACTGCTTCATGGGCAGAAGGGATCCGCAAAAGGGCGACAGCACGGTTCTTGTGGCATTCACTCGATGCAGACGGTCTTCTGAACTTTGATTTGCTCCGGAGCTGTAGAATTCTGTAGCCATCTACAGCGTGCACGAGTAACTTTTCCCCAGGTTTCGTGGATGAGAGCTTGGTGCAATGGTTCTTGCTGCCTGGAGTGGGGCTGTTTGCTGTCCGGTTTGGTGGCTGCCTGGAGCTTCCGGGCCTGTCCGCCTCCGGATGTGCAGTGTGTGGCGAGGGTGCGGAAGGAATTGGCAGCGGCCTGGAAGCTGAGGGCCGAAGTAGACAAGTCGATCTCCCAGCGCTCCTACGAACTGCTCGTGCTTTACGACTGGATTCCAGAGGAGGACCCTGCTTGCAGTGCTTGGGATGTGGGGGGGGGCAGGGGGCGCTTGCCTGTCATAGGTCCTGTGTCGAGAACTCCCCATGTATGGATGTCGTCATTTTTCTTCTCCACACGTGCGCGAGCATACCAGGAGGCGGGACAACGCAGAACAGCGCTTCGAGCAGTTGAAGCAATGGAAGCCGGCAGACAACTGCTCTGTGCTTCGACATTCATCGGATGCGACCCTGAAGGCGTTGATCATGCAGTTTCCATGATTGAGCCCCAGAGAATGTCGATAGGTGCCCTTGCGGAAGTAACGATTGCAAAATGCGGTAGAGTTCCGCCGGATCTGAATATGGACTGGTTTGGCGTCTGCAGCAATGCCATCTTGGAGTGGACGGAGGCTGAGTACATGTTGTCAGCTGAACGCTTTATGACCCACTCTGGTCAGCCGCAGTTGCCTGATGATGCAGACAAGTTCAACCTTCGCAAGACCGACTCGGCTGCCGGATATGGTGCTGTTATCTATCCACCAGTCTTCAGCCCAGACAAGATTTGCGAACTGAGTCGAGCAACTTTGCCGAGCAAAGACTCAAGGTTTGGCGCGCAGTCTGTATTTAGTGGTGAAGCCTTTCACGATGTCTCCTGGGTAGACGTTACAAACCTGCGGACCCGCCACTTAAGCAGCATTTCGCTTCTGGAAATGCTGGAGAATGGGGCCGACTTTCAAACAAGACATCCATTTGGACTGTCGCGCGTCGCCGTGAACCTCGGAGGCTAAATGGGGGAAGGCATTAATTGTGGGCGTGATGTAGTGGTGTCGCAGCAATGCAGCATGAAGTAGCGAGTGAATGGACCTGTTCTTTTTTCCACGTGTTGTACTTGCAGGTGGAGACGGTGCTTGCAGGGTAGGGCACGGCCTGGACCCCGTGAATTGCTTCTTCCCGCAAGGTTTTGGAGGCGTTGTGTTCGAAGCTAACAAATCGCTGGAGCAAGCCTTACAGGACAATCTGGCCCAGTTTGGGCCCAGTGTGCAGATTGTTTTGGAAGAGGCCGCTGAAGAAACCGTGTCAGAGGTGCTTGAAGACTCGCTTTCCAAGCGACCTGCTCAAGTAGCGCGAGATGAGGTGGATATAATCAAAGTGGATGTCGATGGTCCTGACTGCCACCTGGTGCGAGGGCTCTCGCGAGCAGACTGGAAACCCAAGATATGGCACGTGGAGATCAATCCCCTGTTCCCACCAGGCATTGCTGTGTGGCCACAGGGCCCCATATTGGGTTCTTCAACCACTGTGAACCGACAAGGAGACTTGAGCTCTGCATTCTCGCGACGTGGAGCTATGCATGAGAAGCAGGCCTTGGTAGGATGCTCGCTGCAAGCACTTCTGGATTCGGTGGGACCGGAGTACGTCTTCGTCCACATGGAGTTCGAAAATGCGGTTTTGGTTCGGCAAGACATCTCAACAGCACTGGAACCATGGCTGTCATCTCGTGACACAGCGTGCGCCTCAAGGATGTGTGGATGCCAGTGTCAATATAACATATTTCAATTCTCAGCCTTTCATGTGTGACAGCTGTGATGGAGCCGGCGTTTAAGGTGCAGAAGTTCTCAGCCTTTCATGTGTGACAGCTGTGATGGAGCCGGCGTTTAAGGTGCAGAAGTGGCGCGATGGCTACTTCTGTCATCCGTGTCTTTGTTGAGCTTGTTCTGTGGCTTCCGAATGAAACCCAGCTTCAGCCTGTTCCAGGATGGCTCGTGTCCGAATGCCGCATGACTCTGATCCGGACATCCTACCTGCTGCTGCCCCTCTACATATGCTGCTAAAGCCTACCGAAACCTGTTTCAGGACTCACTGTTCCTGCACTACGACTTCCGCAGATGGGGAGTTTGGAACTTAGTAAAGGCTTACATGTGCCGCCAATACATAATATCTGAGGATCCGACTCTCTCCACTGAGCAGCTAGCACGTCTGGCGCAGGCGTCATGACTGTGGAAGTTACCCACCTCGCAACAGCTATCTTAGTCAGGACTTCTTGGATGCCTTCGTCCAGGATGGAACTTACAGCTGCTTCGCTCAATTATGATCATGTTATGAAGTGCTGGTCTGCCGGTAGTCTGATGCATGGTGCTTGTGACATTTTAGGAAGGTTCTCTGCAAATCCGAAGGCTTCAACCCGGCATCGCCATCGTTTCGAACGGGGGCAGAGCTGAGTGCTTAGATATGCTTAGATGCGCGAAGCTGTCAGAGAGGGCACGTGTGCGCAAACCGCCGAGGCCGGATTCTCGAAGGCAACGTGCTCATGTGGTACCTTACATCGAGGACCGCTGTCTGCACCAGATGGCCTCAGGTGCCTCCGTTGCAACCTTGTAGGACTCCAACTGTGAGTCGACGTCCAAAAGCTATGTGTTTCAGTCGCTTTCGGCGTTTTTAGCTATGTGCACGGCATCTCTCTATCACCGGTTGGTGTGTTCCGCAGCTTTTGGTGAATTGGCACTGCTTGCCAGGTGGCGGCTCATTTTGGAAAACTTAGAGCGCCCACATCTGAGACCGCTTATGATCCTTTCGACTTTCGACTTCGTGCGCAGAACTCGAAACTTAGGTTTGCTGGCTTCTTGGGCGGCGGGCAACGGCCACGTGGAGGTTGCGCGTGCGATCCACGCAGCTTCGAATCTTGACTTTGAGTGCAGAGGGCGTGCTGACCACCTTAGTGGAGAACTTTGCAAGCCAGCTCAACATCGACAGGGCGTTCGCCGCCCAGCCTGCTCAGTCTCGCGGCGCAGTAACCTCAGAAATTTGAGTCGAATTGTCCCAGGTGGCCGATCTTCAAGTCGGTGGCTGCCGCTGAGCTTGGCCCTCGTTTCAAGGGGCCAGTAGTGCTCGGTTAAAGAGGTTAAAGCATGACACAAGGATATCTACTTGCGCCTGCTTGTAGATCATACTGCGATGATCTGCAAAAAGGTTCATCTTAATCTGGGTCAGAGGTGTCCTCTGGGCGGCATTGCCGTCCGGAACTTGGATGCACGGGAATGCGGTGCATTCACACCGGCGTTTCAGATGTCATGGTGCATTGGAATGCTCGCTCGGCTAGATTGCAACGGCCATGCGATGGCGCTGTCAGACAGACTTTTGGAAGGACGATTGCATCGTGCCTCGTGTTGCTGCAGTGGTTGATGTTTTTGTTTTTTGTAGCACGGCCCGCCGGCAGCATCCCATGCAAGGACAACCCTATCTGCCCGGCCACTGCGGATCTGTTTGCAGCAATGGGTTGGATCCACAATAGTGTTGCGTGATTGCTGACCAGGCCAGCTGGAGGCCACCGAATGCCCGCGGCTTAGGTCGGCAGCTGCCGCTGGTGTTCCGCAACAGATCCGGCCAACAATCGGACGTGGACGTTGCCAGGCTCTGCACCCCTATTTTTGAGCTTGAGCTTGCCTGAGACTCTTGAAATAACAGGTCTGCCTTTGCGGCGCCACTGGGCTGCGAGCCGACGCCTTGAAGAAGCAAGTGAAGTGCGCAGCTGCAGCAGAGGTGCAGTGCAGCGCAGCAGATGCCCCCCATGCCTTCGTCCGTTCGTCCTCCGTGGACGCGGCCTCCCAGGCCGATGTTGTTGCGCTACATCGAGGCTCGTGGCTCGCGCGATCTCGAGTGGGAGGGTGGGCTGTTGAGTCTTTGGGAGAAATTCGACCACGCACCCGGCGCAGACGTCGTTGCGAAGACTACCTTTGGAGATGGTACTTCGGTCGAAGTGGCCAGTCTTCGAGTTGTGCGAAACTTACTGTACTTGCATGGCTGACTGTGCCGGTTCAGCTGCTTACAGGCAGCATTTGTGCAGCGGTTGCGAGGCTGAGTTCCATGCACTCGGAGAGCGAGAGATGGCATTTGCCTAAGTGAGGGCGACAAGTCCTTTCGAGACACCCTGCACATGTGATGAAGTTTGTCGAGGCCACGCGGCTATCCTTGAAGTCCGCCTAGGATGTCACGGCACAGGACCAACACAGCCCATTCTGTGACTCCTGATAGTGTCGTCCCCGCGGGCTTTGTTCAGCAGCAGTGCTCACATCGTGGTGAAGAACTTGTGGCAAGGGCGGTCGAGTTCCTGACATCACATGGCGGCGCTCTTCATCTTGCATCACGAAGACGTCGGGTCATGCGGCCCCATTTGCACAACGAGGAACTTTGGCAAGTGGATCATGAAGGCTCCTGAACGTAAGTTCAGTTCGGCGGGAAGAAGAAGTGTTGGCTCCCAACTTCGGCTCTGGGATGCGCCTGACTTGCCAAGTTCACAGACTGTTCTGCAATCGCGCAAGCGCCGCACTCGCCGTCTGAAAAAAAAAGGGTCCCGTGCAGTGCAGCGCTCCGGCATAGGCTACGCACAACGGGGGAGGTGAGAACGAGCACAGTCGCCTGACACCCTCAAGCATTCTTTGCCCAAACTTTCGACTACAGGTCACCCCGACATTGCCACACAATGTCGTCTTTTCGCCAGCTTTTCGTGGTGACTTTCGTCATCTGCTGCGGTGCAGATCGGCCAAAAGACTTCGCTGCTATCATGGACGAGTTAACAGGTCCAGTTGCCAGGGCAAGCTGTGTAGAGTCCATGTTGAACAGCATCGAGGGAAGCATGGGTATCAAAACCCGGCACTGGATCGAAGGGCAAGTTCCCAGTTTCGAAGCAGCTCTGCAACCTCTCTTCACTTCACTGCCCAGTCGACAAGGGCAGCCAGGGCAGCTCAGCCAACGAGTGGCGATGTATGCATTACACCGAGTATTTGTGGACGAACGAGGCTGGTTCTTGCACAGCCTGGAAGAGCACAGCCTGCATGGTGAGGCCCCGCTTCCTCCTATCACCAGTATTCTCCAGAATCAGATTCCATCCAGTGCCGAGCAGGCATTCCGGGCATGTTTCCAAAATGGTGCCTACATGAAGGAGCTCGCGGTGTTGGCGGCAACCCTTGACAACCTGGTACATCAGGAAGTGCTGGCACGCACCATGTCTGTGTTCAAAGCGAACAAGCTCCCCCTCTTCGGAAGTGTTCGCATTGATCAGATGGACACCGCGTTGGAGCAGGTCCCTGCCTGAGTTCGTTCGGTAAGTTGCAGTTGTGAACTTGAGAGCTGATGTGAAGCATGTGAAGCCCAGGTTATGATGAGCTACATCCTCGAGGAAGGTGGGTCAGCTTCTGCTTTTGAGGCCTACGTGTCCGGGAATCTTAGCATATCGGACAGATATCCGAATTGGGCAGAACTGCAGCGCTTTCTACATCACATTGAAGGTGTTGTGATGCCTGCCAAATCAACCCATCTCAAGTTCGATGACTTGTCAAATCTCATTCATGAGCTTCAAGTGCACTTTGGTCGCTGGCAAGACGGCGAATGCCAAGAACAGATGCGCGAGCTTCGCAAGATGGAGATCGAAGAGTGTCCGGGGCATGTGAATCTGCGAGACTTTTATGCTGCCAACCTGTACCACAACAAATGGCAGTTCAGCGAGAGTGCCGACTACCTCCATGTCGTGGGTGCGCTCGAAGACAGCGAGCCAGACAGTCCAAGAGTCATTATGTCCAACTATGTCCAGGGGCCCAACAATTGTGTAGCAGCCTCTCGTTATTATTCTCAGTGTTGCATGAATCCGTGCTCCAGTCATCTTTCCAGCCTCGAAAAGGCAGTTGCCGCGTCAGAGGTCTCTCCAGAGCTGCTTCAATCGGCTGTCTCGATGGTATTGCCAAAACCAGAAGCCTCGCAATCTGAGCTCTGGGATCGACTTCGGAAGATTGCACCTGACGGCAAAGTGGCACTGCACGGATTGGCCTTTGCAGAGTGGCTTCATTGGGCCTATCCTCGAGACTGCCCAGCTGTGTCGGGTGGTTCAACTTCTAGGCAAGAGAAGCCAACAGAGTATACTGCAAGGACGGGACTCCCCACCGACTTCCCAGAACAGGAGATGAGGAGCTTAGTGGAACAGGGACCAAAACCAGCCAGCCAGTGCCGATTGAAGTGGCAGGTCTCTGGTGGCTTGGAGTCCTGGGATGAATCGGGAATGGAGCCGCGCTCTACCGGAAGGTTGCTGCTGGCCGCTCATGAGCAAGTCTTACAAATCTTGCGACCATCGGCCCCGATAGCAGTGGGAGCCGCAGTGGCAGCTGCCGCGATGTTGTGTGCGCTGTGGCTTCGACCGCGTTCGGCATGCAACGCACCGAGCCGCGACTTGCTTGTCACGCACTCATCTCAATAGCATCGACGGTCACCAGGATCGCAGTACTACAGCACCCCCGTAGAAAAGGCTGAACACCGCCTTGCAAACATGCATTTTGCCTGTTGTTTGGACGACATTGACAGTGATGGGCAGCGTGTCGAGTTCAACGACAAATCTGGCTCGAAGCTGCAGCTGTGCAGGTACTCCAGACATGGACTGAAGCATTGCAAGCAAGTCCAGTGAAGTCTAGTGTCCAACGTGCATCTCGTCGCGGAGTGATTTCTATCGCAGACTATGCCGTGCACTCGAGTTGTCAGGGCTCAGCCCCAAACTACAGCAAACCACACCACCCAGCAAACTCAGCAAATCCTGGAACTTCGCGGTTTGAAGCTGTCTGGGCTCTGCGTCAAAGGTACCATGCTGGAGAGAAGCATGTGGTCCAGACCTTGTCTTTCACCCTGGCAGGCCACTCGGTTTAAAATCGAGCAGTGCCGGCGATGTCGGAGCACAGCAGGCGGGGCTTGGGCTGCATGGGTGTGCCGCCTCGAAGATCCTCGCTTTACACGAGTCTCTGCCATGCACGCAGGAGAAAGATCACCTTCACCAGGCAGTGCTCTCAGTGTATTATCGCCTAAGTGCGCAAAGTGCAACACAGACCACAGACGCCCGTGCAAAGGAAAGCTTCCCCGGTTGTGGATCCCCCTGCAGTCAACGAGGGACAGGGAGGCTATCCGAACCGCAGCGGCCTCAAATATGCAGCCACAAATTTGCTTTGGGATGTTCTGCCTTGCACATATTTGCCTAAAACCAGGCCAAAATGTCATGTGTTCCTCCACTCACATGTTTCAGGGTCGTGCAGCTAGCCCAGTGCCTTGCCAAGGTGTCAGCACGACCAGGTTTACACTAGCGACGTGGTTCTTAGCCCAGCTTCCCTACTGGTCCGCAAGCTCTTGCAGAACGCAAGCACGAGGCTTCCAAAGTCGCTCTTTGCACAGTTCCAGCGTGTGGACGGGACCTCAGATTGTTTCATTATGGCATGTTGTAGGCTCTGCGTTGTGCACAGGGTCGCGGTGTGCCTGCCGCTTTCAGTCGGTGGGGGCGTGGCCTCTTCGTAGGCCAACATCTACTTCCTCTTCGTGAGCGTCATCGTCTGCATTCCAGACGGTCCGATGGCATGGCACGGGACTTGAACTGTTCTGACGCTTAGCGCCGTGTGCTGTGTGGGTTTGGCTTTGGGCCAGGCCGGCAACCGTGCTGACCTTCTTGGGAGTCCTGCTCTGGACTGCTTTAAAGGACATTCTTGCATCAGTTTCCGTGACGGTTGAATGACTCAGTGACTGAGTGTTTGCGTTCCGTGTGACATTGCAGAGCGCTTGGCAGCAGCGGTGGCGGTCAGGACCTCTACGAAGACAGAAGACGGAAACGTGATGATGACGCAGAAAACTTGCGGAGGTCCGACCGCTCAGTGCTCAAGTCTGCAAATGTTCACACATGTCTTCCTGACCCGCAGATGTATGCGGTACAATGCACAGAGTTGCAGCTTCGAGGAGGCCCCAGCGTGATACTTGCAGCCTTAGACGTGCCTGTGTCCCTTCAACCCTGGCAGCTGCCGTGCGTCTCAAATTGGATTACTGGTACGGAGTACCGTGGTGCTCGAAACCTGCACAAATTATTTAAGACTTGAGTCTTCAATGTAGTAGTGACATAGCGTAGCTTAGCATCTGCTAGCACGAAGGTAGACGAATCCGGGGTCTGCGACCCATCCATGCCATTCCAGCTTCTGAGTTTCCAGGCAGTCAGTCATGGTTGGGCAAACTCTGGAAGCAGAAGTCATGGTAAGATGTCCGCTTGAACGGCTTTGCAGAAAGTGCAGCTCTGCACTCATGCACAAACGGAGTGCAGCAGACAAGCGCCTCCTCTGCGATACAGAGCATTCTCAAAACCATGTCGCGGGTTTGTGCTGGGGTCTCGGCATTTTCAAGAGGTTTCGACCACTCCGCCAGCTTGCAAGAAGCTGATACCAACCTCCGACGTCGAAAGACCCAGCCAGCGCAGCATGGAACACTAGCAGCCAAGGAAACAATATCGTCTGCTGATGTCTGCTGCATCTCGCATGCGATTGCGACAAACTGCAGCCTGTACCAGGTTAACTGGAAGGATGTGCTTGCTGGTGACATCCTGCTTAGCTTTGCTGACGAGGTGTGGCGACGGTCTTGCTTCTGTTACTTGTCTTGCTGATCCATAGTAAACCATTGGTTCTGGCCCCGTACTTGTAAGAGATTCAGAAGGATTGCTGCTCACCCATGCCTGCAGATGCCGGGGCTATGCCATGATTGAAGCCATTTGTTAGACTCTAGTACTTCGTCGCAACAGGCGTTTCCAGCCGATGTGCTGCTCGTGCGAGCGGCTGGAGGGCAGGCTGCTGCGCAATGGTTTCTCCCAGTAGCCCTAGCAGACGTCTATTGCGAGGCATTCATCTCAACGGTGAACTTAGATGGCGAGACTAACCTCAAGGCGGAGCTGACAGAATCAAGGGGACCCAGAGTAGGCTCGAATCGTGATTGCCGATGATGTGTCAGGAAAGACGTGCCGCGGACCTACTGTCTGCCATCACCGACATGCCTGAGGCAGAACCGGGAGGGACTCAAAAGCAGCCTCAAGCGCTCCCTTGGCTGTGAAGGCAGGGCAGGATGTGCCACGCAGCAAGCTCGGACATGCAGCGCAAGAGCAACTACGGAAGTGACTCTGTAAGTCTCTTTGTACTCAGGAGGGGAGCAGGCACGTGAGCAGGTCTTGCAAATGGCCACGCACTTGGAATCAGACTGTCTGAAGCGACACGAGGATTGTGTCAGATGTAACTTTGAATGCGTTGTGGCTCAAGCCTAGCGTGCTGGATTTTGCTTGATGTGCCAGCATCGAATTAGTTGACGCCCCTCTACAGCAGGTGGTGATCTAGGCCCGCATGGTGGTCGAGTGCGACAGAGAGAGAGAGAGAGAGAAGGAGTTCTGAACATGACTCGTGAAGGATGCACCCGTACTCCTTGCACATACACGAGCGGTCCGAACCTGAGAAGGAATCACATTTTCGCGCAACATGTTTCGAGTGTTTACAGGCTCAGCGGATTGTAGCCAACGTTCGCCAAAGCAAAAAAAGAAGAAGAAGCCACTGAGCATGTATGCACGATACTTGCAAATAAACTAAATGAACACATAAATCAGTAAACAAACAACAACATATCAAAAAACACGCAAGTAAAGACATAACATATGCTACACCTCCTAAGGCCCACGTTTCACATGTTTGGATGCCATGAGAAACCCATCAAGGCAGAATCGTAGTGCTGCGGGTTGCGCATCGCCCTCTTTTTCATACATGTTTCAATTTGTCAAGACAGGTACGCCTACATGTGTGAACCAATCCGGCCGAACTGCAGTATTCCCACTCATTCTACTCAATCATGCACATTTCAACACATCAAGGCAGAAACCTTTTTGATACCCTAAAGGAATCTATACAGCAATCTTCGTACCACTTGTATTCTAATTCTGATATTGGCTTCATGTCACATCCATACGTCCATCCATCCATACATCAATCCATCCATCCATGCATCCGCACATACATGCATACATGCCTAGGCGCACACATAACCGCATAGCTTAATGTGGTCTCGTTGACAGGAGAATGTAGATGCTACTTGCCACATTTGCACTTGTTTGCCCTGGTCGCGGGTTAAATCCGGCAGCCTTGCGGCAGCACCTTGAAGTTTAGCAGTGTGGGAAGCAATACCGACGTGCCAAGGCCTCTAACGCTCGTGAAGTTCAACTATGATGGCCCGCCTGGCATCATTTACACGTGTGCAAAGTCATTGCAACGGGGTGTACATGGTGATCTATGCTGCGTAGAATGAGGCGACTTCTTCATCACATGCGGAAAAGATGGCGAAGTGAATCTCATTAGAACTGAGACCTGCGAACGAGTTGGGACGCGTCGCGGTTGCAAACAGCTGCAAGGACTCTTTGGCATGTCAGCCCTGCTCCTCCGACAGCCTTCAAACCGTCCCTCGTCGATGTCTTGTCGTCGTCGGTTCAGGTACAACCCTCCCGGTGAGAAGGCTGGTGCAGTTTTTGCCGTGGATGTGACGATGGACAGCACCTATGTGGTTACGGCCAACGCAGATGGATTCTTTCCCTGCAATTTGCACTGTGTTGTTCCAGCTGTATATGAACTGCCAGTGAACTGCCGCTTGCTCCGATATGATTTGTCCCATGCTGTGCTGGCAAGCTACAGGAAAGCTGTGCTTCTACACCTTCAAGGCAGCAGGGAGTGCAACACGGTATTGCAATCGGAAGCCGCGTCACGCGCCACCTGGAGGGGGAGCACGTCTCTGCCATCAATCATGGTGGTGTCTTGAAGTACGTCGAATGGAACCTGCAACCAGCTTGCAACATGGGAACGAAAATCGTAGGCCTGTGCTCGTTCAATCTGTCCGACGATGCAGGAGGTCAAACTTGAAACGTAAGGAAGCCGGGCGATCAAAACATGGTGTGCACGTGCAATGCCACTTGGACTTGCGCGTGATCTGCGAAGGGCTTGTCGAGCAGTGAGTGTCCAGACATCAGGCAGCTTTCTGACAGATTCGTCTCTGTCGCTGCGAGGACAAATTCAAGAGTCAATCAGAAGGCCTGGTTCCAAACAGGATTATGATCTGGTCCTTCGATCCTCCTCGGCGAATCCTGTCCATCGATGACCAGCTTCCCATGAAGGCCACCAAAGTCACTGGCCAGAATTCGTTAGATGAGTGTTGAAGCTGAGTCAGCAATCAGTTGAATTACAAGCCTTTCGTTGACATCAGGGTCTCTGTCGGCTGTTGTTGCCGCTGCTGCAGTAAAGGTCAAATGGGGAGCTTTCGATGAAACGCTTGCTGCTGTGTTGCACTGCAGAAGGGTGCCCGTTTCACTTAGCCCTACTGTGAGCTGAACGTTTCCTTTAAACGTGTCGCATCAAGGTCTCCATTTTTGAGGAAGGCACTGTGATCGTTTGGGACTCCTCGGACGGAAGGCAGCTGCAGCTCATCCAGGCACACCAGATGGCCGTCACAAGCAGCTTGGCAGTGCAGTGCTTCCGTTCTGGCTCCGGTCAGTTCTTCTGAAGCTTTGGTATTGCCATCAACATGCCTGGCATGGGTTCTTGGGCTTGGCTTGGATTGGCTCGTCGCAGCCTGCACAAACATCAAGCAGCTCGCGGTGGTCCTGACTCCTTTAGGTGTTGTCGCTGTCACAGGTCTTTGTCTGCTTGCATTGCTTTCCCAGAATGTAGTCGGTGCGGTGTTGCTGGTGTATGTTGCGTCTAGACAGATTCCTGCGTCATAAGTTCCCCGCTGACTTGCAACATTTTGTTGGCGTGACTTATCGGAGCAAGCACGAGGCCGGACGCCAGCATCACTCAAAAGTACCGGCTGGTACCGGAAGTCTTCATCCAGCGACACCACGACATGTCCGGCACGAGCTGTGTGTGTGTGTGTGTGCGTGTGCGTCTGCATGCGCGTGCGCGTGCGTGCGACTTCGGGCACACCGGTTTGGGCGGTCCCTGCGGGCCACGAGTGATACTCTTGGTTGTGATGCAGCGCATGCGGCCTCTCGACTCTCCACTAATGTTTCCCCGAATGTGGCGATTTCAACGTTTTGAAATTTTGGTTGCAGGAAGGAGGCATTTCCCCAATAATGCAGCATAAGCTCTCTTGAGCGAGAGTCGATAGGCTTTTAGTCCTACCGCACACGTTCGCAAACACCGTGGCTGCAGGTTCTCATCGAGTTTCTGTGTCCTGGTGGGTTAATGTTTGGTCTCTCCGCTAGTATTCTTATCTCTCGGTTCAGTTCTTGCTTTGTGAGACTTTGTAAAGCCAGTTCGATCTCCCTGAATTCAGCATCACGCCTCCGAGCAGCAGCATCTCTTGGCATGAGAAACTTCGGCGGGTTTTTGCGGATGATTGCTCTGCAAGAATATTCCGCATCACCTCTTCGTCATATTGCAAGCCGGCTTCTTCTGTAGCCAACATAATGCTGAATATGCTCCAGATGGTTCCAAGCTGCGCACAAAGCCGGTGCCTGTCCGCTCGCAGTTCCGCAATATTCCGCACAATCAACGATTAGAATTTGCGCTAATCGCTAATCCGCCCAATCGGGCTTTATGTTAGCATCGTCGACAGGTCGCGTCCTTAGACACACAGCAGCAAAAGTCGTTGGTTTCGATGAATTGCAGCTGTTATCGGAAGTGCCGGGCGAGGCCGCTTACGGGCGGATAGCAGTTTCCCGTTCACATCTTGCATGTCGCTGTCCTTGGAGGCCCAGTCGGCATTACGCACACATATCCTTCATTTTCTGATGGAGTGCAACACCTTCTGATGGTCGGCCTGTCCTTGACTTCCCTAGCGCACTGACTCCTGAGCTCGAATTCTGTCATCTTCTTCCCACCTTCCGGTTAGGTCATCAAGGTGACCCCCCGACCCCAGCCACCTTGAGAGTAGGTTGCCTCATCCAATTACATGTACTGGTAGAAGTGTTTTGTGCAAGATAGGTCGCACGGTCTCGAAACTGCGAGGAGGCTGATGAACCTTAGCCTTGGGACTCCTTTGCTCACAGTTTTAGTTATGGCCAGTAATAACTTATTCTACCGAGGCATGAACTTCACGGAAGACAGAATGATCATGGCGACCTGCTCCAAGGATGCGTTTTGAGCTGCGCAGTATTGACCAACTCTTTGATAGGCAGATCTGCCTTTCGTCCCCATTGTCCCTACTCAGATCCTGTTGAGTAAAACCCTCTGTGGCTTGTTATTTAGCGTTTGGAAATGTGTCCTTTCGTCCATGGCTGGGTGGAGGGCAGACACTCCTACGATGAAGCGAGACTCTGCCATTCTACTGACACGAGGTGTCATGTTCGATGCTGTTCTGCGTTCTCAGCCGACTTGCGGTGCGAGGACGGTTCAGCGAAACTTTGGACGCTGGATGATTACGAATGCATCAAAGAGTCCGCCGCTTGCGTTTAGTTGCAAGCACCCATTCCGCGTAGAAGCTGGGCAGTTCAGGTACAAGACAGACAGACCTCTCAACGATGTCGCCATCTCACCTTTGTACTGCTCGGAGAATGCCAGCCGGATCAAATGCTAAGTTCCATTGCTGAGTAGCTTTTGCACACGGTGATGTTGACAGAGCTTGTGGACCCCGCGGAGTGCCTGAGCGTGCATTGCATCCCCTGTCAGAACTGCAAGATGCACTTGCTGATGGGCGGTGGGCAGGATGCAAAGGACTGTAGGGTTTGGTCCTTGTCGGTTCTTGCAGGGAAGTTGTTTTCAGTTTTCCGCAGAGGAAATCTGAAGGCAAAAGTTCCTGCAGCGAGGATGTAGCAGTCTCTGGGGCCAGCGGCGCTTTCGAGGCGCATTGCCGAGTGGAGCGCCGCATCCTGGAAATATCTTGAGATGCTAGCGAGGCTTTGCTGTGGCACATGGTCTACGAGGAGGAGATCGGATCTGTGAAAGGACACATAGGTCCATTGACGCTTGGCGATGTCTGGACAGAACAAAGACGTCCATTGTGCTGTGTGATGTTGTGATTTTTGTGCAGCTTCAGGAACTCAATAGCATGGTTCCGAGACGGCGCCGGTTTCGTGACTGGCGGCGAGGATGGCTACGTTAGAGTCCATCACTTTGACAAGGACTACTTCACCGCGAAAAGATTTGAGTAAGCAGATCACGTGTCACCATGTTTCTCAGCAATGTGTAAGACTGGCGCAACAGGTTTACCAGCTTCGTTAGAAAAAGAGTCCCGATGCCGAAGCCAAGTACCTGCATTGCATTGCAGTTTAAGGCACGGGCACAGACCTTCCCAAAGTGGTAGCATTTTTGCCTCCTAGGCCTGCATGACCGCAAAGCACTTGCAAGAGGAGGGCTTACAGGCGCTTTCTCACAACATCTCGGAACTGGCCGAATTGGGCCGATTTCTGTACCCTCGCGAGGTGGAGCTGGACGTGCCTAAGGCAGTCCTGACTGACATGGATGGGTGCAGCGCTTAGTCGCTTAGTCTTTACCTGGAATCTGGGCAAACATGCGCCGCCTCGTTCTAGCAGCCAGAACGACAACAGGTCGCTCGAACTGAAGAGCGCGTCCTCAACGGCGCAAGCCAAGATGCAAGAGGTGGAGGCCACTGGAAACACCTGACTTGTCATGAGCAGCTTGGGAGTTCATCTGCTTGAAGACTCGAAAGTTCGCCGCTGCGTCTTTTCGGCAACTTTTCGGCATGCGAGAGGTCAAAATTCCCTGCAAGCTTGGCTACGAACTTTTTGTGCCGCGCGGGTGCGTCCTTCGAAATACATTGTGCGCCAGCCAGCAGTGCAAAGTATTCTGGGTTCTCCCAGTTCTGCCCTTCAATGCATGGGCTGGGTCTGCTGCCAGCCCTGAGTGCTTGCATGTGGAGGTATGTTATCTCAATAGCCGCATTCTGTGGACCACATACAAAAACAAGGCGGGCCCTGACCTTGCCCTCGCAAACTGTGACCTTAAGAGTTCATCCGGTTAGACAAGCCAAGTTATGGCAAATGCCTGCAGGATGAATGCAGCGCAAGCAGTGGGAAAGGCCCTGGTTCTGCCAACTTGACCGGGAGAATGTAGATATGCTTGATATGCTATGTGTTACGCAGGTATTCGCAGGTGTTCAGCGCAAGCTACTGTGCGATGTGCACACAGGTGTCGAACATGCAGGTGTACCTGAACCGCGGCGTCCAGGATAGATTGCACTTTCTTACACCTGTCCTGCAGCTTGCAGCAGAAGAAATTGTATGCCGTGCCTGCCAGCCTCAGTAGTTGGAGCTTGCAGGGCCTGGTAGTGGCGCTCGCATTGTGGTGCACCTACTGCACCATCGCAGGGGAAGTGCAGGCAGCTTCTGCGAAGATCCCATGTAGTGCAGCAATAATCTGGTTGAGCTTTGATCAGGGCGCGACCGAAAAGCACTGGTTCCTGCGCTTCCTCTTCTACTGGACAGTGTTCACAGCTTCTCGATGTGGTTCCGTCAGGCATGTACTCTAAGTGCTTTGTGCTGTGCAGGATCATCCTCTATCAGATCATCCCTGTGAGCCTTTACGTTTGCTTTGAGATTGTCAGACCCCCATTTGCCGAGAAGGCATATGAAGCTAGATGTCATCCTGGACCGAGATCAAGCTCTCTCTGGCGTTCCAGATTAACCGGGATCCCAGCATGGTGGACCTGAGGATGCCATGTTACCACTTGGGTTGTCTTAGTCTGACCGCGGGGTAAGAGCTCTGCGTTGCTCTGCCATGGAGAGGACACAGCAGCCGGCAATGGCTAGAACAGCTGATTTGGTCGAAGAAATGGGTCAGGCTTGTTCCTTTTGGCCTGCTGGCCTACTTGCTTCTGCACCAGAGCCTCGTTGTCCGACAGGTGAATTTCGTGTTTTCCGATAAGACTGGAACCCTCACAGAAAACGAGATGGTTTTCGCACACTGTTGTGCCTGAGCCTTAAGCGGCAGCAGGGTGGGATTGCATTTGTGCGTAAGATTATGGATGTGCCGTCCGCATCCGTCCACGTGATCAACATTCTGTTGTCCTCTCAAGGTTGGTGGAAAAGATCTCGGAGACTTCCGCAAAGGTGGAAAGCTAGATATACAGGAGGCTATCAGGGAGTAATGAATAGACCGATGTGCAGTCGTAAGTTTTCCTTCGCAAGGAGGCTGTTGGTGTCGCTGAAGCAAAGAGAGTTCTTGCAGATCCTGCCGACCCACTGCACTCCGAGGAGCACAGCGTGACACTGCAAGAACTGTTTGACATGCTCTATATATGACTCTATGATGCTCGGTGCGATGAGAGCAGGCGCTCTGGTTTTTCCTGAACCTTGCGACCAACCACTCCGTGCAGGCATGTGGCGAGATGGGGCAGTTTCTGACACGGTGATTTCTGCTGTGACCAAGGTTGAGGCGGGGGCGAACGGGAAGAAGACCTTTGAAGGGAGTTCCGCTGACGAGGCGCGCATTTGGCACGGGCAGCATTGCCTCGTGGCTTGATCAGGTTTCTGCCAGTGACTACACCAGCTTTCGAATTTGCTCAGAGCACATCTACCAGAGATCCAGATTGTCAAATGTCTCACACCGGAAAAGGTCTGGACGAGAGGGACTTGTCTAAGTGGCTTCGTAATGGCACTGTCTGTCTTCCGGAGTTTGTTGCGAAGCCTGCCACCTGCTAGTGGCACTGTTGTTGAGACAAGGTGGAATGTTTCTCGGACTGACCACAGCAGCAAACCTGAGAGGTCTAGAACAGAGCAACTCAGCGTAGTTTTCAGAGTCGCACCGAATCATGCTCGTTGAATGCTCGCTATTTAGGAAGCGCCGCCCTGCCGACCTCAACGAGATCGTCACAGACAATAAAGAATAACTGCTCAAGCGACGGTTTCTTGATGCCGCTGTTGTCAGACTCGGTTGCCCCACCTCCGCTACATTGCCGCTACATGTTGTGGAATCGTGCCAAACACACCAGAAGTGCCGGCCCGGACAAGACTAACCGGAGCATGCTTGCACGACCAAGCAGACAATGCCAGGTTGGTGTTTGTAGGCCATCGCATGCAAGAGATGGACACTTCTGCGCCTGCCCTGGTCGTACCACGAGCCTCCACTGTCTACAACTGCCAAGAAGCGTGTTGACACACGGTCCTTTCCGGAAGTGAACCTACTAGCTTCATCTCATCGCAAGTTGAGGGAGTTTCGTTTTCTGGCTCTTCTTGTGTTGTGACTTGGACATCACGTGACTCGATGGCACTTGGATTTCCCTCAGAGCATACGTCTAAGACTCAGAGGTAGGAGACCGAAACGATAATCGATAATATCATGGAGAGCTGAAGCAGGAAAACTTGTGGTCTGACATCTGTCTGAATTGACTGCGGTTTCCACAATCTCTGACCTCGAGTCCGAGTTGAACCACCACATATTGTCGATTGGGCCAACAAGCATTGGCGATTTGCAGGTGGCTTTTGTGGATGCCGCTAACGCGGTAGGCCACGCACCTAAATTCCGGTTCGTTTCGAGACGCATCTGTCGCACTAATAAGTCTCGGACACCTGCTAGGCGTGACCTTCGCCTCTCGCACGCGGCTAGCTGGAACGAGCCATACAGCCCGACTCCCAGATGGTGCTACAGATCTGCAAATCATTGCATGCACTTGCCTGCATGAGCCATGAACAAGCTGCTGAAGGAACTCGTCGTGAAAGGACCAGGGCCGCAAGAATTCACCTTCACAAATGTTTGCCCGAGGCTCAGCCAAGCTTGAGTCGTGTCCGTGGCCTCCGCTGTTCATGATAGTGTAGAATACACATCGTGAACTGAGGCGAGATACCTTTCACATCGGATAGAAAGCGCATGAGTGTGATTGTGAAGCACGTCGGTTCGCGCCTGAGCTCCGGAACCACCCAGTGCGTGATCGACCGTTGCTTGATTTCTGCCCAACCCGAAGCTCATAACTGCACTTCGCTGCTAGGCGAGTACTGGTGCATGTGCAAAGGGGCCGACAACATCATGGGGTGGGAGCCTCAGAATGCTGCAAGACTTGCAACAATCACAAGACACTTTTGCAGATTCCTTTTTGTAGTCGCTGTTTTGTCGGATATGAGGCCCTTGTGCTCCCGCCCGCTGGATGGCGATGCTCTCATTCTGGAGAGATTGTGCGGGGAACATGCGCACCACTACCTACTTGAGGCACGCTTGGTGAGAGCTTGACACAGTACTCCAAGCTGGGCCTGCGAACTCTTGTTGTGCCTTGGCTGACATCGGACGATTCTCTGCACCTCCCTTCGTGCCGTCTCTCTGCCTCCGCCCCTCCCAGGAAGCTACTACTACTACTACTACTACTACTACTACTACTGCTACTACTACTGCTACTACGACCACCAC